CCCCCGACCTTCCGATCATGGGGCCACCACTCTACCTACTGAGCTATCCCTGCCACATATACATGTGACTATAATGTCAGTGGCATAGTAGCTCATCTGGATCGCGATCCTTTTCACACATTACTGCTCGACGAATGTAACCCTGACCTTGAGCACAATTTGGTGAAGAACCATTCTAACCTGTGATTGCTGTGAACTCTGGAAAGATCCAGGAGGATTTGCCAAAATACACCAAAGTCTGCCTTTCGCTTCCTGCTTGCTGATTTCAACTTTGATTTCAACTTGCATCTTCCAACTTGCAACTTTTACCTCTCATATTCAATTCCGCACGACGCATTGTAGGCAGGGAGGTTGTTTGCCAAGATGATTCCCAGCAGCTGAAGCCCGACAGAGTTGTCTTTGCTGTTAGCGTCAGTGCCACAAAATCGCTCGTATATTAGACTGAGAAGGCAAGAAAAGAGAGAAAGCCAAGGACCACATATCAGTTTCATTTTGTTAAAAACAAACAAAAAATATGCAAGAAAAAAAATTTACATTTATAATTTATGTTAATATGTTTGAGACCGTACAACATTTGTAATTCAAATAAACAAAAGGATAAAATAATGCAGCATTTTTCCTACTTTTTATAACAACATAAGACATAATTAGAGTCGACAACAGACAACTTTACTCAGGAACAACTCATCAGAAAGTGTTTATTCCTAAAGATTTCATTCTCTGTTCAGCACACCAGTGTTTATAACACATGGGGCGATCGTGGCTCAAGAGTTGGGCGTTCATCTTGTAATCGGAAGGTTGCCGGTTCGAGCCCCGGCTCAGACAGTCTCGGTCGTTGTGTCCTTGGGCAAGACACTTCACCCGTTGCCTACTGGTGGTGGTCAGAGGGCCCGGTGGCGCCAGTGTCCAGCAGCCTCGCCTCTGTCAGTGCCCCCAGGGTGGCTGTGTCTACAATGTAGCTTGCCATCACCAGTGTGTGAATGTGTGTGTGAATGTGTGTGACTGGTTGTGTAAAGCGCTTTGGGGTCCTTAGGGACTAGTAAAGCACTATACAAATACAGGCCATTTACCATGTTGGTAATTAAATGCAGATTTTTGATGTACATTGATAAGATGCCAGCAGCTTAAATATTGGTGACTGTTAAGTTTATCTGGACTTGATGTGATCTTGTGTGAGCACTACCTGTAAGGCACATGCAGACAGTCTTTCCAGCACTCTACCAGAGTGCGGATGATCTCCAGGTTGTGGCGGAAAACGGGCCTCTTAGAGTGAAAGCAGTGCTTCATCAGGAACTCCAGCAGCCGGTTGGCAAGGACTTCATCTCTGGGGTTACCCTTAGATTAAAAAAAAGAGAAGTTATCAATGATAAACTTTTATTATAAGAAATGCATCATATCATAGCAGATAACAAATGAGTAAAATACAATTTATGACTCTCCGTAGCGCTTGTCAACAAAAATAAATAAATAAATTAACTGAATCGCAGCTGATTTGGTGCCACGTTTTCACATTCATAAATTGAACTATGACAAACTTTGGGTGTAGCCAGGCTTGTCCAGGATAGCACCGTAACCACCACATCCACCACCATAAAATGGATCCCCACTCCTCCAGTGTTTCCAGAGACAACAAGCTGTAGAAGTGGCCCAAGCCAGTACTTGGCATAAGGCCGAAACACCTGGAGAAAAAAAAAGAAAAAAGAAAATGAGTCGTACAACCTATTTTATTAACTAATTTCTATATTTGAAAGAATTAACTGAGGGACATCCACCTCCTCTGTGTTGATGATCAGCTTAGAGATGAAGAGTCGAATGTTCAGAGGTGTTGATGGATTTGCCAGTTTTCCATGTAGGAATTTCATCCATGGAGGAAGCTCACTGGGCACATTTCCCTGTTTTACAGAGCATTTGACACAAACTCCTCAGTAGTCATCATACATTCATAATATTCATTACAGAGATTAATTAGAGAGTTGTAATTACATGAAAATTTTTAGGATTTGAAGTAAACGTCAGACTTACTTAATCCTATTATAAATAATGAAAACCTGCCGTACTTTGGCACTGACCTGTTCAGTTTTGGGGGTTATGTTGTTCCTTTGCATGTGCCCAATAAGAGCAGTCATGGTCGTCATGCATTCATGCTGGTTTAGCTCATCCATTTCTAGATCAACCATTGCATCCTGGGACGGGCTCATCTCCTCTGTCTCCTAGATTTACAAACACGTTAGCAAACCTTCTTGATAACCATGAAACCAGAGCCATTTTGAAACAGCAAATGACTTATCCTTAACACTGGTTTCCATTGGGGCTTTCAAAAATGTTCAACTGGTTATACAATAGTCATTTTAAACTCCTGTGTTCTCATTTTAAAAGACAGAAAAAACTAACTCTTTTTGCAACAGCCCGCTTTTCTCCTTCTGGGTTTTGGGAACTGAAGGAAAAGCTTTGGACTCCTGTGGAAAAGTCAAACTGGCTCATCTCCTCGCTCAGGCTGCTGTCAGCCATGTATGACTGGGAGGACAGATAGACTGGAGCTTCTGTGGAAACCACAAATAAATCCCAGAAACACACACCGTCAAGCTGCAGTAAGATACATTTATACGTCTGTGACAAACAGAAACACTTCTTACCTCCATTCTCTTCATTTACTTCTTTTCGAATCATAACGTATTTCTTTTTCCTCTCAAGCGGGACCTGCAATGTTTAAAAAAAATAAATTAATAAACCATGACTAAAACTAGCAGAAAAAAACAAACAAACAACAACACATACCTCAATTTCAATTGGAAAGTTGTAGGTCCTTTCAACATCAATAATGTTTTCAAGAATAAACTGATTCTGGAACAAAAGAAAACACCATCAGTAAGGTCCTGTGAAGTCACTAAACGTAAACTTTTTATCACTTTATATGAATTACAGAGTATCACAAGTAACAGTGTTTAAATGTCACCACTAGATGTCAGTAGAATGCAGATTATGGTCAACTGAGTTTCTTGCTCCTCCTAATTTAAGCACATAATCCCTGCTAAAGGATCATGTGCGACAGGACAAACATGTTTTAGTCAGCCAGCAGGGATCAAAAGCACAAGCTGGAGTGTTTCTGTTTAATTCTAAATTTATCAGCATGCATCACTTTGTTGAAAGACACAATTACACACAGTGTGAGCACAATATCCAATTTTTCTATTAAATAAACTAAAAAAAAAAAGTAGTTTGTACTGCATTGTACAAAACTACGCCGTCTGAGAGACGTTGGTGTATTTATACAAACAAAGCACTACCTTCTCAGGTTTCTCACTGAAGAGGAAGCCATGGTAGAATTTGGGCTCGCTGAAGCTGCAGCTGATGACGGCGATGGCGCAGTTGTACGAAGTGCAGTGATAGCGTCTCCGGAGTTCAAGGAGCTGAGTCTCACCAGCCATGTTCTCAGTGAAGGCTTCAAAACACGACCTAATTGAAATAAAATGTATGTAATCATATATGACGAATGAATCACTTATTCATGAAATAAAAATGGAATTTAAGTGACCAAAGCGCTGGAGAGGCCTACTTGATCAAAGTCTTGGACATCTCGTTTCCCTCAGTTTTCTCAGAGCGACAGTAGGCTTGATTAATGCGGGACTCTTTTGAGTAAACCTCTTCTTTGGGAAGCCGTGAATACAAAAGCTCCATCAGCTTGTAGCAGCCATTCTTCTTCAGCAATTGGACCTCAAAGGCTGTCTCGCTTGACTGAAAGTGAGAAATGAATGATCATAGTTCAGGTTAAATAATAACAATGATACAAAAACAGAATGGGACAGAGTTTCTCATCTTTCATTTGACAGGCAGTGGCCAGCACAACAACACAGGCATGTCAACAAATAAAAAGATGCACTAAATGGAATAAAACTGGGTTCATGCTTGATCAGAGTGACTCTTACAGAGGTGACAGAAAACCTTTCATGTCCAATTGAATTAGCTCTGAATGCTGAATGTGTGCTCTGCTGCTAGACTCATGTCAGAAATTTGAAGATGAGGAACATTTCCTCTGGTTAACTGAGAAGAAATTGGGGAGACTGACAGAACATGAGACTCTCAGTAAAGCGAGTGCTTTACTGAGAGCCAATCCCATAGCAGGCACTCCTAATGTGACCTATACTGATCGTATTCTAACACTTTTAGGGAGGATTCTGCAACGTGATAACTGATGCTATCATCAACATCAATGCTGACAGCAATGTTCCTGCCAGCATTCCTGCCAAAATTAGCGGGGACTTCAGATTTTTCAGTTATTGTCCACAATTTACATCAGTGAAGAAAAATATCCAGTTAACTAGATCACTGTTAACAGTGTTCAGAGGCAAACCTTGGTGAATCGACTGAGCAGGAAAGAAATTATGTCAAAGACGTTTGTGATGAAGAAGTCATTCAGGGCCTTGGCGCTGCAGTGAGAGGCCAGAGGCAGCAGAACTCTCTCCATCATGGCCTGCAGCATGGAGCTCATCGGCACGTCACCTTGTTGAATCACCCCGTAAACTGTACACAGCAGCTGGAGCTGCCGCTCAACGCTTGCCCTAAACAGACATTGGCAAAAACATTGCACATAATGAAAGCAACTCATACAACTACATCTCCTTGTAGTGGAACAGTAAAGGTCTATAGAGTCACTGCTGTAATGTGGCTCTAACAAATTAAAAACTTTTGCCTACCGCTTGGCAGTTCTTTGGAAACAGGTTTGGAACTGGTCCTCCATGATGTGTTTTGTGTCTCGACACAAAATTCCCGCAAGTAGTTTGAGCAGGAGTGGGCTCTGAGAAAGCTCCAGGGCGTCCAGGAACTAA